TAGGCTAGCGTCTCTGTTGTAGATAAAGAATTGTAACACAGCAAAATCATTGGCTCAAGGACAGATGTCCTTGGTGCAGGTTAACCTAAAGTTACTTGATTGTTATATAAACATACTGAGGAAATTGCTGTAGGAAGAGACAGTATTTGCTAAGAACAAGCTTTTGTTGGTAAACTGACTTAACCTTTTGCAAATTGCATTATGGAATGTCACTTTGTTATTTCACTGATGTTACCAGCTTCTATTATTAAACTATACTTAGCCATAACTCTACCTATAGTTCCTTTTCTGTAACTTTCTGGCCCAGAGAATAAATACTGAGAAAGAACCCCAGTTCAGGGTTATTTTTCCAAGGTGGAATGCCTCTCTCTTGAGGGATCCTGGAAAATTAACCCCTTTGGGGGGCTTCTCACTGACCCAGAAGAAATAGGCTTTGAGTAATCCTTTGCGTCTCCATCACCCAGGGGCAGGGAGGTGACAAAGAGAGTGCAACACAGGAAGGCTGAGGCAAAAGGAGAGAGGGCTGTCCTACCTGTGCCCTTTGATCTCGGCCACGTCAGTCATGCCTCCGACGCTGAAGCGGAAGTACTCGCGGTTCAGGGCACGGGCGATGGAGCGGGCGATGCTGGTTTTGCCCACGCCAGGGGGCCCATAGAAGCAGAGGATCTTGCCCTGGGTGGAGCCGCGGAGCTGGCTCACAGCGATGAACTCCTGTGGGCAGAGGGGGGCTCAGCGGCACTCGGGCTGGCTGCCCCCAAGATACCGGCTCCTGCACTCCAGAGGAAGGTGCCCTGGCCGGGGGAGCCGGGGCATGGAGCTCACCCCCTGCATGCTGCCTCTCAGACATCTGGGGCTGCGTGGAGGGACCGGGCTTGCCCCGGGGGGAGCTGTCATTTGCCACATGGAGGGACAACCTGTGGCAATGGGACGACTAGGTGCCAGAAGACTGTGGGTGCCCAGGAGCACCATGCCCATGTGGCACCCCCACACGTTGGATCACAGTGTGTTCTCCCTGACCCATGGCCCACCCACCCTCAGCCAGATGCCTCGGGCCTGGTTCTCTGCCCCCAGGCTCCCTGCTGCTCTGCCTGGTTTCTGTGGTCTCAAGTGCAATTTTGATCCCACCTGGTAAACCATAAGTCCCCAATGGCGCGGCAGGCTGGCCTGGGGTCACAGGCTGCTCCTACTGTCCTGAGCCACTCCAAAGCCAGCCCCTCCACCCCTCACCCCTTCCTTTTCCCCTGCTGGCCCCCACCAGCACCCCAGACCCACAAACTCACCTGGGGGCTGCTCTGAGTCATTGACCCACAGCACAGGGCAATCCTGGGCCCCAGGCCCACCAGCCATATGTAGATCCAGATTATTACAGACCCTGCCCCTCAGTCCCCACTCTGGGTGCACTGACCATGTGCCTGGTCGGTGGGGAGGGTTGGCGAGTTAGGACCTCAAGGTCCCCGTAGGGGCACAGTGGGCCTCACCAGGATGCGCTTCTTGACGTCCTCCATACCATAGTGGTCCTCCTCCAGCACCGCCCGGGCCCGGGCCAGGTCCAGGTTCTCATCACTGTACTTGCCCCAGGGGATGGATGTGAGCCAGTCCAGGTAATTGCGGGTGACGCTGCCACAGAACAGACGAGCACTGGTGAGCAGGACGCTCATACCGCCTGGGCTGTGAAACTCAAGCACTGGGCCCGCTAGGCCTCTGCATGGACGCTGTCAAGAGCAGCGCAACTTGGCAGGTGGGGTGGGACACTACTTTGAAAAGGCACCTTGGCAGGGACCACACCCCAAGATTCTCGCACCCAATATGAACACCCTGTGTCTTGGCAAAGCACCAGGCACAGTGAGGGGAGGGAATGGCCCAAGGTCAGGGTCTGATACTTGTCAGCAGAGCAGAGACCTGCTGACCTGCTTGTCCCGTGCTGTCCAGGGCTGAGCCAGCACCAACACAGAGGGGCCAGGCTTAGAAAAGAGGAGAAAACCAGACCCAGGGCATATTGGGAAACTGAGGTCAGGTGCACTGCCAAGGGAGCGACGATGCAAGTTGGGAGGGTACCCCAGACTGATCCAGGAGCTGGGAACTGGGCACCTGTGGACGGCAGCCATCACAGACCTGGAGCCAGTCAGCAGGGGCTGCTGGGGGAGAAGAAGGGGGACTTAGGGGACAAGGAAGCGGACCACCACAGAGGACACCAGATGGCCTGTTATCAGGCACTGGGGCGACTTGGGAATATGCTGCCACCAAGCTCACACTCTGGCATACAAGATGCACTGGAAGAGGCCAGCACGGCTGGATCTCACAGAGCCTGCGGGGTCACACAGTGGGTGGATTTTACTTTAGGGACACACAAAGTCCCTGCAGAAAGGACTTTAATGGGCAACAACACAACCAGATTCATGGCTGTAAAGTCACCTCAGACTGTTTTGCAGAGAATGTTCTAGGCTGGGGGCAGCTGGGGGCCTCACCTTGGTGAGATGTGGCACCAAGGGCGGTGGGCAGTGCCCAGGGAGGGGCCAACAGCCCCCCAGGCGACCACAGTGGGCTTGTCCCCAGCACCTAATGATAGAACCAGCCACGCAGACCCGCTCAGCTCCTGGGAGGCAGGGAGCTGTCTTGTTCTGCAAGATAAGGCCTGGCCCAAGCAGGCACTTCCACAAGCCCCGAGGGAAGCTGAAGTGCCTGTGGGGGGGAGAGAAAGACCCCCAAAATGTCTATGTCCTAATCCTCAGAACCCATGAATGTCACCTCGCACGGCAAAAGGGACTCTGCAGATGGGACTGAATTAAAGACTGAGATGTAAGACCACCTTGGATTACCCGGGGGCCCAGGGTCCTCATAAGAGGGAGCACAAGGGCCAGCGGCAGAGAGAGACTGGAGGACGGTGTGCTGCCGGGTTTGCAGACGGAGGAAGGGGCCACGTGCCAAGGGCTGTGGGCGCCTCCAGGAGCTGGGAAAGGAGGAAATGGGTCCTCCCCTGGAGCCCCAAGAGGAGCCAGCCCTGCTCACACTTAAAATGAGGACTTCTGCCCTCCAGAGCTGTAGGAGGACAGTGATGCTCTGAGGCATTAAACTTAACGGTACTCTATGGCAGCAACAACAGGAAGCTCATCCACTGCCCAAGGAAGAGAACTCACTTGGGCATCTTTGGAATGGAAGCCTTTGAAGGAAACCTGCGCCTCCCGGGGTCCTGGTGGAAAGAGGCTTCAGCGCCCCTCTGGACACTCTGACCCAAGGGAGGGTCCTGGCCCAGTAGCTAGAAGAAAGAAACTCAGGGCTAGGTGTTCCAGTTCCCCTCAAGTTTCCTTCTACGGCTATCCCAGGGCCTGGCCAGACCTGCTGCTGGGCCCCAGGGACCTGCCCTGCCTAGAGTTGTCCAGGAAATGGTCAGATCGTTTCTTTCAGGGCTGGTGTCCAGCAGGCTGGATGTAGGTACAGACAAAAGAATCCCACAGGGACATGAGCCCCTCAGCCCAAGCCCCAGGGCAGCCATCTGACTCACAGCCAGCATGCATGGGGAAATGACCACTAGGAAGGCCAGGGCTGCAGGAAGACACGGTCGTTTCCTGGCTGACTCTCAAAGCAGCAAGGCCAGGGAGACAGACGCAAGGAGTGTCGTTGGGGTGATGGCTCTTGAGTCTCCTGGTTAGAGCATTGGCTTAGAGCCAGGCGTCCCTGGGCTCAGATCCCTCTCACCATCTACCAGCTCAGAAGCTCTAGTCACTGGCCCAAAGACTCAATTTAGTGTGTGTAAAATGGAGGTGACAACAGCACGTTCTGCCCAGGGGTGACTTAGCTGATACACACCAATCACCTGCCACAACAAGAATGTGCTGCACGGACCCCACCCAGGCCCCTGGCTTGCCCAGGGCTGGGGAACAGAAGGGGTCCCCTGTGAGGGCTGGCCCGCATCCACAGGGGCCCCACGCAGTGCTCACTTGAACTCTGAGGAGTGGTTGTCCAGCAGGCCCAGCTTGCTCAGCTCCTCGTCAACGACCTCCATGACGTGCTTGGGGACCACCAGCTCCTTCAGCCGCTCCCGGAACTTCTCCTCGATGGCGTCCTTATCCTCCTTCTCCAGGCCCAGCTCCTTCTTGATGATCTTCAGCTGCTCTTGCAGGAGGTACTTGCGGTGGGTCTGTTTGATTTTCTCCTCCACCTGACAGGGCCAAGAAGCCACTGCTCAGCCCAGGGTGTCCAAGCCTCAGCTTCCCCAGGACTCAGAAAAGAAACCCAGGGCACAAAGCCTCCAATTCCTTCCTTCTTTTTTTTTTTCCCCGACAGCTGGCCAGTAAAGGGATCCGAACCCTTGACCTTGGTGTTATCAGCACCATGCTCTAACCAACTGAGCTAACCGGCCAGCTCCAACACTGATTCCCACGGGGAGGAAGTTATTTCCTTTTCAGTCCCAATTATGACAAGAGAAAGGCTCAACTTGATGCTAGCACATCCCCAACACTTCTCTAACAGGCGCCGACCTTTGAATAGAAGAGACAGCATGACGCAGGCTCAGGGCCCAGTACTACCAACGGATCGGCCTAAACTGCCCCCTGTTGTGTTCTGTCACATGTGTTTGGAGAGCTGCCTTTTACTGATAACCCACTGTTCTAGGTTTCCCAATTAAAGATGGGATGTGAATTTCTCCTGAAATACAACTAAGTGAAAGAAGCGAGTCAAATCTGAAAAAACGGCACTGCTGCTAAGTAACTGGCAATGCAGGCAGGTCACAGATTTGCCCAAAATCAAGAAGGTGGCCTCAAGTGGTGGAGTGACTGGTTTCTAATTTCCAGCACCGTCCCCAGGATCACCAAGGCAGAGAAATCCTCTCCCTTGACACAGGACAGCCTTGAGACCTGTCCACTCTGGGCTCATCGCACTGGGTCCAGTGTGACGTTTCCTCCATTTAACACAGAGTCTCACAGCTCAGATACCAGCAACTGACTGCACAGTGCCCTCGAGGTGGACACATCTGGACTTGCTGTAGCAGGCTCCTGCTGACGCCATCTCTCCAGGGAGCCCATCCCGAGAGTGGCTGTGCCGCCCGCCCCGCTTACCTCCCGCCCCAGGCGCTGCTGCAGCTTGCTCAGCTCAAACTCCTTCTTCAGGAGGGACAAGGACTTATACAGTCGCTTGGGGATCTGCCGGGAGAGGGAGAACGTGAGAGGATGGTCAGAAGTCAGCATCTGTCTGTGCAGGGGTGAGGGTGTTGGGGAGATGGGTACCCCAAGAGCTGCTCCTGGGAGCAGCCTGGCCACACCTCACCAAGCAAGAGAGGCATGCCCCCTCCAACCCAACAAGGCCAGTTCTGGAAACACATTCTACAGATAAGCTTCCATAGGCCCACAAGCTGTGCGGGCAAGGACATTCCCAGAAATGCTGTTCACAACAGCAAGAGATGAGCGGATACCCAACCCAAAGGACCTGACTCAACAAACGATGGGCACCACCCAGGGGAACGCTATGAAGCCACTAAAAAGAACACGGGAGATAGATGTGAAATTATCTAGAGTCAAGGACAAGCGGCCAGGCTGCATGGCTGCAGGACCAGCACAACACGGGCACGGATGGGGCACGGGCGGGGAGGGTGGGCCCAACTCACACTGGTCTCCTCCAGGACGTCCTGCAGCTCGTGGGACTCGGCTCCGGTCAGGGCGGCGCCCATGTCACTCAGGTAGATGGGGTTATCCACCACCCTCTGGCCAGCCTGCATCATCTGCAGCACCGACTCTCTGCAAGGGACAGAGGGACCCAGGCCTTAGCATCCTATTCCCTAGTAGCTCTGGGCAAGCCAGCTCTGCTACCCAAGCCTCATCAAGTTCAGGGCTAACAGGGTCTTCCAATCTTGGAGTCTAGAGATTCACACCCCCATCCCAAGACGCCATCCCTTGCCAGCAGATGAGTTACCCTACCCCTCAGCCTTCATGAGATTACCTCCCTCCTCCCGCAGCTGAGGACCACAAAAGCTTCTGGCCAAATCCAGGCACTTACTAGCAGGAAGAGAGCAAAAAATCTGGGCCTGGTCAGCCAGGCCTGGGGCCTTCTATTCAGCCCTCACCCTCAGGGGGAAGCGGCTCCTCCTGCACAGGGCTGTCCCTGGACCACAAATCCTTTCCCACCCACCCCCTCACCCCCGCCAGGTTTCCTGTCAGGATGAAAGCTGAAGAGAACTGCCTGCCGACTCCACTGCAGAAAGAACCATAGACAGGCCTAGCCTGCCCCTGGGGCCACCAGCTGTGCACTGGGGAGACCCACCTGTAGAGAGGGTTCAGGGCGATGATGTCCCGGATGGTTTTCACGATCTCGGCGGTCAGGGCCTGGCAAGTGGGAAGCCACAGTGGGTCACTGGGGCTTGACCATGCCCCAGCCTGTGGGGGGTATGGCCCCGGGAGCCCCTCCCACCTGGCCCTGGCCAAGGACAGCTTTGGAGACCAAGGAGTGGAGCCCAAATGCACCAGTCACAGGGACACAGGACCAAGAGAGTAAAAACTAGAACCAAAGCCTGTCTCCTTAGACCACTCTGAGCCTTGTCCTTAGAACAAAACTTTTTTTTTTTTAAAGATGGCCAGTGGGCCGGCCCGTGGCTCACTCGGGAGAGTGCGGTGCTGATAACACCAAGGCCCCGGGTTCGGATCCCATATGCAGATGGCCGGTTCGCTCACTGGGTGAGCGTGGTGCTGACAACACCAAGTCAAGGGTTAAGATCCCCTTACCGGTCATCTTTAAAAAAATAAAATAAAATAAATAAAAAAATAAAGATGGCCAGTAAGGGGATCTCAACCCCGACTCGGTGTTGTCAGCACCACACTCTCCCAAGTGAGCCACGGGTTGGCCCTAGAACAAAACATTTTAAGGACAAAAGTGGTGAGCTTCTGATTCCCTTATTTTAAGCACCATGCTCATAACCAACACCCCCTTCTCAACCTCAGCAATAAACTGCCCAGCCTATGAATTTTCCACTGTCCAGGGTGTGCCTGCATGTCACCAGGGCTTGCAGCCTGCCACCTTCTGGAACCTGGCACCAGGCTCTCTGTACAGACAGTGGGGCCCTCTCTGCCATAGGCGCTGCCAAGGCCTGTCTTCCTTCTTGCCTCCTCTCCGGGCCACAGTGAGGCTGGTGATACTCCCGGCAGACCACCAGACACAGCCATTTGTTTTCAAAGGACCACCAGCAGCCGCCACAGCCAAATGTGAAAACCTCATCACCTGGTCTCTAGCCGTGGGGTTTGACCCCGAATTGTCTGAGCTAACCTACAAAGGTTAGAAGGAACCAGAACAGGCCAGCCAGGAGTCCGCAGCACACATACTCCAGCAGCGAGCACCCTGTCGCTCAGAGGTCCTCCTAGTCCTTCTAATCACAGTGCTGATGAGTTTAGTTGTTCATCTTTCTTCTGCTATGAAAGCCTCAAAGAACCTCTAACACTGGGCTGCCCAATACAGCACAGATACTGGTAGGTATTTAAATTTTTATTTTGGGGGGCAGCTGGCCAGTACAGGGATCGAACGCTGGACCTTGGTGTGCTATTTCAATTTAAATGTGTTAAAATTAAATAAAATTTTACATCCCGTTTCTCAGTCGCACCAGTTGTTATTTCAAGTGCTCAGCAGACACCAGAGACTAATGGTGCAGAATTACAGAATGTCCCCATCCGGGTGCTGATTGCAAGGGTCCCATGCAGCTTGTGGTGACCAGGACTGCTCGCCCAGCCAGTGGCCAACGCAGCCAAGCCCCTTGCAGCGCCAATGGCAGACATCACCAATTGATTCTGGTACTTGTTCCCACCAAGCTCAGCAGCAGCCCCAGAATCCTCAACACAGGGCCACAGCCAACGGCAACCAATCAAAGATCAGACCATAGTTATTGGCTCTGCCTGGCCTGTGTCCCCTCCTCAGGGAGGAGGCCAACACTGGGCACACACATAAGGAGCCAATACATTCCAGGCCTTCAATTATCTTTGCTAATCATTCCTACCCACAAGAAAGCAGGCAGGCCACTGCCACCAGAGCCTGCCTACCTCCATCTCAAAAGCTGGCTCAATATGCCACAAGGAAGGCAGGACAGCCTAGGTTTGGGGGTCAGGTTGCCAAAGGCTGTTTCTTTCTTGCCTTGTAGCTATGGGTCTCCTGCTCCCCTCTGCCACCTCCCAGGCTTGATGGGAAGGAGCTGGGATGGAATGTGCTTTGGCAACAGCTGGAGGCCTCTGCACAGTGCACAGAGGCTGGGGCTGGACCTGGGTTCAAATCCTGCCTCCTACCCGAGCAGCTACAGGCCCCAGAGTATTTCCTTTGCCCGTTTCAACGCAGTTCTCCCCAGGACTTTTGGGAGAAAATGCACGCTATTCATTCCACAAGAATCTGAGTTTTAGAAATGCCAAACCCTTCCTGAGTGTGAGGCTCAAGGTCACAGGTGACTGTCCTTTGGGAGCCCCAAGAACATGACAAGCATGTTGACCTACTTTCACCTCCTCTGTGACCTGGAAGTCTTCGTGGACAACGTTCTCCACTTCCACCATGAGCACCTGGGTGGGGGCTGCGGCGGGCTCCATCACCATCTCCATCTGGCGTCTGGCACGCAGTTCGTCCTCCGCCTCCTTCTTGCCCCGCTTCGGCTTCCTCCGTGCCTTCTCTTTATTCTCAGTTTCTGGCTCCTCTGGCTCCACCTCTAGCTGTCTGTTGATGTGAACCCTGAAGATGGGAGCAAGGCAGGGGTGAAGCCACTAAGGCTGGAAAGTGCCCTGCCACTGGCCAAGGCCTCTCAGGGGCCTCTCAACTGAGCAGTGCAGGAAGTACAGGAGCCACTGGGGCAGGGTGGCTACTGGGTCCTCGAGCAGGAGACTGAGCTGCTTTCTCCAAGCCCTGCAACCAGGTAGGTTCGTGCAATCCCCATGTCCCATGCCAACGCCCCACTGTCCTCCACAATTGTTCCAAGTGTCACGGATAAGCCGCGGTACTGAGCTCCAGGGCCTCCTATCACAAGCTATGTCACAAGCTCGGCCGAGCTCCAGCCATCTCTGGAGCTCTGCTGGCCCCACCCCCCATCTCGAACTTATCACAAAGTGGCTCTATCCCATTTTTCACTTCCGGTCTCAATATGAAGGATGCCTTCTCCAAGAGGCCCTCCCTGACCACCACATGGAGGTGGCCCCGCCTACCTAAACATCTATCACACTGACCACCCCCACCCATATTCAGCTGCAACCTCACTGCTTCCATCTTGGGTCCTCCCCCTTTGGGGCAGTGGGCTCCATAAGGCAGCCCGTTTCTCTGTACCAGTGCCTGGCAGACACCAGAACCTCTGTTAGATTTTGAATGACAACAGGCCATCCCACTTCTTAGTTCTCTCCTCTGCCACCCAGGATGATGACTCGGTGCCTGGCTGACATGGGCACCTGACCATCCATGAGACAGGCAGAGAGGAGGAGGCTGGGACTGGGTAGGTCCCGGGCAGACCTAGCCTCAGGAGTCAGCAGGCCTTGTTCTGTAAGGCACCTTGTGGGTCAGCAGGACAGCTAGTGAATGCTTAGTAGCTGCCCCTGTCTTTTTTGATTGCATCTTATTATGCTCCCTCTGACTGGTAGATCCGTCCAGGAGATGAAGGAGGGGGCCTTGTCCCCACAAGAGACCCCAGTGTGAGCAGATAAAGAAGGGCCTGTAGGCTCAGAGCAGCAGGAACGCCACCAGGACTTTTCACAGAATCAACGCCTGGCACAGGCCATTTCCCAAGTGTGCCTGGAAGCACTGCCCGGCTGATACAAGAAAAAGGCCCTGTGAGAACAAAGGAGGGAGGACTCTAGACTCAACAAACTCCAGGGAGCATCTCCCACGAGGGGCTTTCCAGAACCTTTGCCACGTTAAGGACTTGTGAACCTGAAATGTTTCCTGCGTGTATGTGACCACAGGACTATCTGAGGAGCATTTTGGAGGACCCAATGTTCCTTGGAACATACCTAGAAAGCTGTTAGCTGATCCAGTAAGAGCTTCAACCCTAAGCTGGTCCTGTAGACTTTTCTTATATACATAGTTATTTTTGGTGGCTGGCATAATTATGACCCAATTCTTTTTTTTACCTTTTCATCTGGTCATTACAGAGATCTAAACCCTTGACCTTGGTGTTACAAGGTGGCGCTCTAACCAACTGAGCCAACTGACCAGCCCTGACTTCTCTTAATTTATAGTAACAGCACAAGGGGTTAAACTGGGCTTACAAACGTTGCACATGGCCCTTCCGCAGGATGGAGGTAGAAACTGCGCAGACTGACAAGTAAATATACCTGCTTGAGGGAGAAACCAAACACTGCTAGGCTGTATATACAGCATGATCTGCTGGAAGATGCAGATACAGGCATGTGGAGGGAAACCACAGCCAACTGGTGACAGCGCACACCCAGAGATGGGACTGGAGGCAACCCGCTACTTTCTGAGAAGGGAGGGACCCATATGTGATGCGTCTCTTTCCCGTCCCTGGCTCTGGCCTCACTGCTGGTGACACAGCTGCTGACAGAGGTCACTGCTGGCACCTAGGGCTCTCTTCCCACCTGGCCTCACAAGCCCTGCCCCCACATACCAGTGCCCCACAGTAGCTGGCCCACACACCTTCTGTGTCCCATGATGATCATGCGCAACTTGTCCCCTAGGTCCTGCATCTCGTGGATTTGGGCAAACGTCCCCGTGTGGTAGATCTCATCCAGGCTCTCGACCACATCGGACTCGTTGCTAGGGGAGAGGAACACACATGCACTGATACTCAGTGGGATGTCTCAGCTGGGAGGGAAGAGGGAGAGAAAAGAAATGCCCCTACCGGCTACTACTGAAAACTGAGCTTCCACAGGTGCTCCAGAGCCTAGCAGAGCCAGGTCACGGCTGTTGCCAGCGGGGACAGCACACAGGAGGACACTCCTTGCTAGGAGGGCACTCCTTGCTAAGTCAGCCATGAGGCTGGGGCCCAGATGGGACTTTGATTCTCTTCACTCTCCTATGACAGAGCCTGCTTAGGACCCATGCACCTTCCAACTTGGAAATGGCATTAATTTCCACCTGGAGTCACGATTTCCGCCCGACTTGCTCTACTTTGAAGTAGCCTCACAGGTGCATTTTAACACTAAGGGTGCTCGAGGTTAATGTTCCCCCATCTTCACCATGCGTGAAGTTTAGTGCCGTGAGCTACCAGCCAATTCCTCAACCCAGACTAACACGGTAGTCCAGTCTTCCTGGCTCTTGGCCTAGTCCCCTGGACGAGGTTCCTTTGTTTCTTTTAGGTCAAGGGTCAAAGGTCCAAATTAATCTACAAAGTGGGATTTGTGGCAACTTCAACAAAGGAATGAAGGAAAAATGACACTTACTTGTCATCCCTCTTTAGAAAGACGCCGACATAAGGCTGGGCAAGACGGACTTTCCTTCTTAGCAGCTCAACCAACTTCTTATTTTTAACCTAGCATGACAATGACCCCAAAGTGAAATGCAGGCTAGGTTTGCTAGCTGACATTCTGACAGCAGCTCTACTGTTTCCTAGATTATTCTCTGGGGACATGCTAACCTGATCCAGGACACTAATCAACATGGTCCAAGAACCCCTGAACCAAAAAAAAAAGGACAGGGTGGCAGTGGAAAATAAGTGAAGCAGCATTAACAACAGCAAGCCTTAGCTCTTTCCTACTGCCTAAAGAAAATTCAAAGCAAACAGCCAGAACCAAGAAATTGATTTAACATTCAGTTTCACAAACTGTTTCAGTGGCAAAATGTCTTGGTATGAAAATCAAAACCATTCTGCTTTTATTCATTTTATTTTTTTGTGGCTGGCCAGTATGGGGATCTGAACCCTTGACCCTGGTGTTATAAGGCTGTGCTATACCCAAATGAGCTAACTGGCCAGCACCATTCTGCTTTTATTACTGTCAGGACAACACTAAAGATGCATAATTCAAACCCCACAGACTGATAATTCCCTCTACTTTTCATTAAAACTATTTCCTGATCATATCCATACGCTATTCACTGATGATCAAAACCTCCAGGATCTCAGCACATTCTCAACGTCATTTCAATGGCACGTTCTGGGCTCATAATGTCTTCTAGGAAACATCTGATGAAGCAAGGAGCACAGATGTCCTCAGGCTCACCTGATTTCTTTCTAGCCTGTGTTAGTTCCCAGGCCAGACCTTGATTAAACTTAATGGCCCTCAAATTTTGGCAGGCATCACAATTACCTGGAGGACTTGCCTCACCCTTGGAGGTTCTGATTCAGGAAGTCTGGGGTGGGGCCTGGGAATGTGCATTTCAAACAAGCTCCCAGGTGATGCTGATGCTGCTGGTCCAGGGACCACACTTTGAGACAGTGTTTTCACTCACTCCCTAACAGGGGATCTTAACTTGTGGGCTGGAAATTCCTGACACTACGGAAGTACTTTTTCTGGGAAGAAAGTCTGTGACATCCAACAGGACCGTACATGACTCACCAAAAATGAAGAGCCTTTGTTCTACACTCAGAGGCCACTAAGCTACTAGAGCAGATTAGCCACACAATCAGTGTTAACCAGAAAATCAAGAGTAAACAGAGCTTTGCTAACTAGGTCAGAAACAGAGTCCCAAAGAAGGTGCCCCCCAATTTTTCCTCTGCCAAAAGCTGACTGCTGTATCCTCAGCACCTGTCTCTCCCCTGCCCCCGCCCCCATCACTTTTTGCTACACAAAGTAACACCAACAGAAATACAGTGAGTACCAAATGCTATCTACAGCGACTCATTTAACCCTCTGGCCAGCTACAGGTGGGCAGACAGAACTCTCGGAAGAATCACCTCTGCTCAGGTGCTGGGAGCAAGGGACATCTGTCACTTTGCAGGGCTCAGAGAACCAGACCTGGTGAAAAGTCCTGGCCCTAGGAGCCAGGGAGAGTAAAAAGGACTGCTGGGGGTGGGGTCAAGGATGGGAAAAAGCCTCCAGGGCAAGGTTATGAAATGTCTGAAGCGCACCAAGTTGTTACTGAAGCATACTAAGCACCAGGCAGGATTCTAAATTCTTTAGACATATGACTATATTTAACTCCCACCACAGCTCTGAGAAAAAAGGTACTACTATTATGTCCATTGCACACATGAGAAAATGGAGGTCCAGAGGAATAACTTACTGAAGGTTATGAAGATAGGGGTAGTGGAGTCAGAATATGACTCCACAGAGTCTGGATCTGGGGCCTGCACTAGTAACCACTACTCAACATCAAAGAAGGGCCACAGAAGGGTAGTTCAGACACACACAATCAGCAGTTTGGGAGAAGAGGTGGAGAAGGGCTCTGTCTGTCCCCTCCGTACTATCCTTTTCCCTTTCAAGGGATCCTTGAGATTTATCTAGCAGAGTCTGGAGTGTTAGAGGAGAGGCTGGAGGGTGAACACAGAGGCTGACTCACTGTATGACCTTGCTTAGACAGTTAACAGATAAACTTTGTCCTCCATGGACGCCAGTTTCCACATCGGTTTGAAGAAAACAAAGAAGAGGGGGTGGGGATAGCATTTGGGTCCTTCCTACTTCTAAAAGTTCAAGTTTCTTGCACTAATTGCTTTCTTTCTATTACATCACCCTCATCCCCATTCCTCCCAACCCCCAAGACTCTTGGTCTGAAAAGATCTTATTTGTTTAGTGTCTCTTCCACCAGAACATACGTTCCAGGGCTGGCCCGTGGCTCACTTGGGAGAGTGTGGTGCTGATAACACCAAGGCCAGGGGGTTGGATCCCTATATAGGGATGGCCGGTTGGCTCACTGGGTGAGCGTGGTGCTGACAACACCAAGTCAAGGGTTAAGATCCCCTTACCGGTCATCTTTAAGAAAAAAAAGAACATACGTTCCTTAGGCCAGGGACTGTGTCTGACCAGTTCACTACTGTATTCTCAGAGTCTGCTACATGGTAGGAGGTCAAGAGCACGCTGCTGAATGAATAAATGATGTCCTCCTTCCTCCTAAGCCTCTTGTACCATCCCTTACTCTATTATTCCCGGTGGTAATTATTGCCTTCTAACAATATAACTTAGTTATTAATCTTGTTTATTGCCTCTCATTCTACTAGAATGTAAGCTCCAAAAGCAGAAATTTTTGTCAGTCTTGTTCACTGTCATATCCCCAGCATCTAGAACCGCATCTGGTACATAGTAAGCAGTCAAGAAATACTTGTTAAAGGAATGAATCTTGATCTCAAAGGGGCTCGCAACCAGAGGGCAGAGTTGCAAAACATTTACCAAGTAAGCAGAAAAATAACGGAGTCGCAGTACTGCTCTGGTTCCTCCAGCCCAGGACTTCTATGACCGGGACTTTAAGCGGGAGGAATTTGGCTCATGGTCACCAAGCTGGTGTTAAGTAGACAAGGATTGGAACACCGGCCCTTGAGAAACTTCGTGTCTGAAAAAGTTGCGAGGCACGAGGGCGCTAAGTGATCCCTCGGTCCAACCCGCTGCTTGCAAAGGTGGGGAAACTGAGGTAGAGGTGGGGACTCTCATTACCTCAATAATCTTGATAAAACGCGGGAACACCGGGTTGCGGGTAATGGCGATGAGCGGCAGGTGCGGGAACACGTCCGGGATCGTCATGGGCGTGAGAGCCGTTATCACCGGACCTTCCCCGCTGCCCGCGCTGCCCCCGGTGCCCCCTTCCTCCGCGCCACCCTCGGAGGCGTCCTCGCCGCCCGA